AGAAAAATACAAAAGCAAACACAGAAGTTTAAGGGAAACCTAAGTCATTCAAATAGCAGTTAAAACAATTTGATATGCAATGATATCAATGTATGTAGGATGGTAATAAAAATCAATGAGTGTGAATCATTAAGTCCCATGGCACTGAATCAACAAACAGCAATCTGCTTAAGAAGGCATGAAAATATATATATTTTTGGAAGATTTTGATGCAACTACGAAAATAAATTTCAGTCCTTGAAAGAATGAATCTCAGCAATTCCAACATCTTCACTGTCCAATGGCTCATTTTCTGTTTTAGTCCAAATAATATCATAGTATATTAAAGAAAATCAGATTTGGAACAAAGTGGTTTTTCTTTTCATGAACATAATCTGGGGGGCTTTTTAATGGTGCAATCTGGGAGTTTTAACAATGTGACAATTAATCACCAAGAAGCTAATAAAAATGTTATTGTGGAATAAAGTAAGTCAAATCCTAAAGCACAGAAGTTCCTACTTAATTTACCTGTAGAATAGTATAGACACTGAAATTTCTGTTTAAAAGATCAAGCAGATTTTCTGGGGTGATAAAAACGTCCTACAGCTTGATTATGCTGAAAGTTACATGGGTATGCATTTGTGAAAAATGAAAACTGGTACCTTTAAAATCTATGCATTTTATGGTAGGTAATTTTATCTCAATGAAAAAGGGAGTATTGGAAAAAATAAATAAAATTAAAATTATGGCTATGATAAAAAAAATCGAGTGTATTTTGTTTCTGGATTGTTTGCAGACTGGCTGAAAACACACAGTACAACATGAAAAATCTACCAAATTTCTAGTAATTGTCTAGGTATCTACTAGAAAGTAAATGTATATATGCTAGAAGAAACAGAACACTAATATTTAAAAGCTGAAAAACACCTTAGAGATTCTCTAGTCCAATTCCTCTCATGTCACAGATTGGGAAGTTGAAGTCCACAGAGTTAGCTAGGGTCATGCCCATGTCTCTTAAGTATGCTCTTTTAATATGTCACACAGAAAACCAAAGTTCATCCAAAAGGCTTTGAGGATTCCCATCTTCTAAACTGTTCCCAATTATACATTCACAGTGGCCCACATATAGGGTAAAATAATCTTTAAATATGAAAAACAAAATGCATATTAAAACCTAAGATTAATGTCGATTTTGGCCCATTTAAGCAAGAGAAAAAAGTCAGATAAACTTAAGTAAATTAACTATATTAATGTTAATTAAATACTCCAGTCATGGTAGCAGTTTATAATTAGCAAATAAAAATACTACTCTTGAGCTAGAAATCTTCTGTTTATTCAGTTCTTAACCCAGGGACTTGCATATAATATGTGCTCAGCAAATGTTTACTAAATTAAAGAATGCGAATTCTACAATTACACTTGTGTGATACAGTAATATCTAGCACAATAATGTAGATAGTGCAGTAGTACAGTACATAGCTGGCAGTCAAGCTTCTGGCAATTTAAACTGTCATCAACCCAGTTATGAATTCAGAATGAAAGACAGACATCAAGTAGAGAGAGGAAAGCTCAAAACCTCAAGTGCTTCACTCCTTAAGTTCTTAACTAGGTGTAAAAATAAAGCAGCAGGATAGAAGCAAGGACATAAAAAACAACACTGTCAACAAGACAGGGAGGGAGAAAACAAAGACCAGGAAAAACTGACAAAGGTACATTAAAAATCACAGCAATCTGGGGATTCTTGAGGTCAGCAGAGAGCCTTGTATACCCTCATGGGGCTTAAGCCATTCTTCAAATGTTCCCTGCTCACTTACTGTGTGCCAGATGTCATCTGTGGCTAATGAGCCCTGTCTGTCAGGGTGCTTTCAGGTACTACAGGCTTCCCTCTTCCTGATAAAAGGGCCTGATGCAGGTGGAACTAGTTCTGCATTCTTTCTGACTTCAAAGGAGGACTTTTATCTAAAATTTATCTTAAAAATATTATCAACATGTTAACATTCTCTAAAAAATATCATCCACTTTATAATAAGCTTGAATATGAGAGCCACACTTGGGATGGCAGAGAGCAAAGACCAAGAATCTGGTCCCAGATGGTTCTGCTGAGGGGCTGAACAAATACCAGCAACCTCTGGTTTCTTTTATGTGAGAAGAATATATCCGTATGTGATTAAAGCTCTCTTAGTTTGGTTGCTCACAACTAAATGCATTTCTAGGTGTTACCCAAGAAACTAAATGTGTAACAGAGGCCCTGCCCTCAAGGAGTTTGAGGTCTAAGGAAGACAGGCAAGAAACAAGTATTTATGTGACCCAAGTTAGTAGCAGAGGTCTAAAGGAATAGATGTGGAAGTAACTAACTGTAACTAGGGAAGCAAAAGTCATCTTCAGAGTCTGAGATGTCTAAGTGTGTATTAAAGACTAAGTAGAAAAACAAACAACCCAATCAAAAAACGGGCAGAAGACCTAAATAGACATTTCTCCAAAGAAGACATACAGATGGCCAAGAGGCACGTGTTATTGCTAATTATCAGAGAAATGCAAATCAAAACGACATGAGGTATCACCTCACACCAGTCAGAATGGCCATCATCAAAAAGTCTACAAATAGGGCTTCCCTGGTGGTGCGGTGGTTGAGAGTCCGCCTGCTGATGCAGGGGACATGGGTTCGTGCCCCGGTCCGGGAAGATCCCACATGCCTCAGAGCGGCTAGGCCCGTGAGCCATGGCCGCTGAGCCTGCGCGTCCGGAACCTGTGCTCTGCAACAGGAGAGGCCACAACAGTGAGAGGCCCACGTACCGCAAAAAAAAAAAAAAAAAGTATACAAATAATAAATGCTGGAGAGGGTATGGTGGGGATGTAAATTGGTGCAGCCACTACGGAGAACAGTAGGGAGGTTCCTTAAAAAAACTAGAGTTGCTGGGGAATTCCCTGGTGGTCCATTGGTTAAGATTCCAGGCTTTCACTACTGGGGGACCAGGTTCGATCCCTAGTCAGGGAACTAAGATCATGCAGGCCACACAGTGTGGCCAAGTAAATAAATAAATTAAAATGTAAAAAACAAACAAAGTTGCCATATGATCCAGCAATCCCACTCCTGGGTATATATCCAGAAAAGACGAAAACTCTAATTGAAAAGATATGTGCACCCCAATGTCCACAGCAGCACTATTTACAATAGCCAAGACAAGGAAGCAAGCTGTGTTCATTGACAGATGAATGGATAAAGAAGATGTGGTACACACACACACACACACACACACACACACACACAAAATGGAATATTACTCCGCTATAAAAAAGAATGAAGTAATGCCATTTGCAGCAACATGGATGGACCTAGAGATTATCGTACTAAGTGAAGTAAGTCAGACAAAGACAAATACCATATGATATCACTTATACATGGAATCTAAAAAAAGATACAAATGAACTTATTTACAAAGCAGAAACAGACTCACAGACATAGAAAACAAACTTATGGTTACCAAAGGGGAAAGGGGGGGGTGGGAGGGATAAATTAGGAGTTTGGGATTAATAGATACATGCTACTATATACAAAATAGATAATCAACAGGGACCTACTGTACAGCACAGGGAACTGTATTCAATATCTTATAATAATCTATAATGGAAAAGAATCTGAAAAGAATATATATATACATATAACTGAATCACTTTGCTGTACACCTGAAACTAACACAACATTGTAAACCAACTATACTTCAAGTTAAAAAAAAGAAAAAGACTAAATAGAATTACGAAGCAAGGAAAGGGAGGGGGAATTTCAAAGTACAGAGAGCAGCATACGAAGAACACTAGTACTGGGACGGACCTTTGAAGAAAAGCTCGGTTCACCAGATTACGCTCATAATGATCAGAAGTCATCAAGAAAAAGGTAAACTATATTTAATATACTTGTTTAAAAAAAATGGGGCAATATATAAAATTATTTCTAAATAATTTTTGTTTAAAGTATTAACAAAACTTGGGCTTCCCTGGTGGTGCAGTGGTTGAGAGTCCGCCTGCCTATGCAGGGGACACAGGTTCGTGCCCCGGTGCGGGAAGATCCCACATGCCGCGGAGCAGCTGGGCCCATGAGCCGTGGCCACTGAGCCTGCGCGTCCGGAGCCTGTGCTCCGCAACGGGAGAGGCCACAACAATGAGAGGCCCGCGTACCGCAAAAAAAAAAAAAAAAAAAAAAAAGGTATTAACAAAACTTAAAAATTTGGCACTTTAATGGCAAAATTCAGTCATGGAACATTAATTATAATACTTCTTGACAATATTACTATTATTAAATTTCTGATACTTTATTCCCTTTTTAATTTTTAAAAAACAGATTACGAAAGTAATTCCTGAGTAGTTGGCTGTTATCAAAGTTTTAAAGAAAACCATTCTCAATTTCCTCCTCATAGGTGACCAACTGGGGACATCCTTCCACACCTTTTCCTTTGCATCTCCACGTATGGACAAGCACTTATTTTAGATACACTCACGTATTCACCATTGTACATATATTTTGAAATTGTTATGTGACTTTTCATGTAATATATAGTGAAGATATTTTATCATTATTAATTAGGAAAATTATTTTAACATTTAGCTAAAAGGTGAATACTTTGATTTTTAAAGTGTAAATTAATGAAGTCTTCCTGTTGGGCTAAAGACAAAACACTAGCTAAGGCCAAATAACCATATACTAATAAGTACACAATCCTAGTTCATGTTGTGGAGGAAAATATACTAAGGGGGAAAGCTGGGGTGTGAGGAAGGGAGGCTCTTAAATGGGGGCAGTGACCCCTGAGCCACTCACTGACCCTTTGGGCAACTTAGCAGGATCCAATCCACTTCCCCTTAGTACCTGAGATGGCTTATATATTATCTGCCATTAACTAGTCTCATCAAAAGTATCACTGGTATTTTCTGTGAAGGGTTAGAAAAATCTCTGGTTCTTTAAATCTGAAATTACTGAAATTTGAGTTTGGGTTCAAACCTGTTTCTTGGGATTTGCCCACTGTAGCGGCTCACAGTCCTCCAGTTAAAAAAACAAATTCAGTGTATGTAATTCAAGCTTGATACATTCAATAAATATTTAAGTGTCCACTGTGTAGAAGGCGCTATAAATGAAGTTTGAGGTAACTGACTCCCAGATTAGTTACTAGGTGTGTGACCTTGGGAAAATTACTTTTCTATGTCCCAGTTACCTGATCTGAGGCAAGGATGCAATTAATGAGTCTGTAGTGCTGTTGTAAGGATTGAGATGCTGCACGCAAAGTACCTGGAACATAGGAAGTACTTAATAAATGCTGGCTGTCACCCTCTGCCCTTTCCTGCAAAGAGGACTTATTGAAGTCAACATAGAAACATTTTCTTTTTTGCAGTACGCGGGCCTCTCACTAACGTGGCCTCTCCCGTTGCGGAGCACAGGCTCTGGACGCGCAGGCTCAGTGGCCATGGCTCACAGGCCCGGCCGCTCCGCGGCATGTGGGATCCTCCCGGACCGGGGCACGAACCCGTGTCCCCTGCATCGGCAGGCGGACTCGCAACCACTGCACCACCAGGGAAGCCCAACATAGAAACATTTAAAACAATTCATATTTGTGAATTCAGGAATAAAAATACCCACAATTAAAGGATCTGTTAATTAGCTTTTGCTGCAGATTATAACCATATTTCGATTTTTAGTCTACATAAAGGAAAACTTTTGCAACCTGAAATCTATTCAAAATTCAACCAGTCCTGATTTGAATTTGATTCTGCAATGAACTACAATAGGAGGGCAGCTCTGCTAAGCAAATAATGAAAATAAGTCGGCAAAGGACTGTTGACCACATCTAAGATAATGAGCTCTTGAGTAAATAAAAATTTTGTATTACTTATTTAAAAATAATTTCAAGTGACAGAAAAGGTGCAAGAATAGTACACTCTATCTAGATCCTCTAATTGTTACATACTACCTTATTTGCCTTATTATCTCTCTCTAAATACAAACTTTTTTTTTCCTGAACTATTAGAGTAAGTTACATACATTATGTTCCTTTACCTCTAACTACTTGTATTCCTAAGCCCATGAACATCCTTTTATGAAATCAGTAGAGTTATCAAATACAGGAAATTTAACATGGATATACTTTTATCTAATCTATGGTCCACATATCAGTTTTGTCAATTGACCTAGTACTATCCTTTACAGCATTTTCCTCACTATTAAATCTACACCAGAATCACCTATTGCATTTAGTTGTCATGTCTCAGTAAATAATACCTGATAGGCATTGTTTTTTACAAAATGAGTTGCTCAAAATAGACTAGAAAATTAAACTTGTAACTACAAAAAACGCAGCTGATTTAACTTCTGTTCCAGCATTTCACACAAAAATAGTTATGTTAGAAATGCTATTTCTACAGTTCCAAAGAATTTACCGAAACCACCATGTCTCAAAAGGAGGTATCCAAGAACAAAAAACACTGAACTAATCTCATTAACCTTATTAAATATAAAGGCAATGAAAACCAGTTCCAACCAAACTGTTGGGCCATATTTTATACATCTTGCGACACTACCTCAGAAATTAGGACAGGTCAAGAAGGACACAATGGAAAGTGATCACTGTAATTACTTACCTCTTGGGGGTTCGTGGGAATATTGCGGGGAGGGGGTTAATGGGGACTGTTTCCTTTTTATTCTACGAATTTCTGTTCTGTTTGAATTTTTTGACCATGAGCACACATGTCTTACTTAATAATAAAACAAAATAAGCGAAGAAAGGAAAAGAAAAACTAGATGGCGGGGTGGATTCTTGTTTTGCGAGGTTAACCGGAACATCAAAGTTCATCTGTTTGTACTTTTGGTTTCTTCGCCTTAAGAGATGATGGTGACCCTTCCTCTAACTTACACAGGCAGACATCAGAAAGGTTAAGTATCACCAAACTACTATTTCAGGGAGAAAGAGCTAACAGAAATGCTTCTCATAGGTCAGAAAAACCTCTCACTTGAACTGGCTGGCAGTTCTAAGGTTAACCGTCTGCCCTGAAAACCAGAAACTCAGGCAGAACCTTCCCGGATCTTAGAGCATTCATTCTGCAGCGGGGAATGGCGGAGCCAATGAAAGCTGTCGCGGGAGGGAGTACGGAACCAAGGAGGGCGTTCCGGGCTGTCAGCCGGACGGGAGGGACGCCGGGCCCCGCGCGCACCCGGGAGGGTCCGGGCAGCGGCCGGGGAACGTGTGTCCGGAGCTGTCGGGCAGGCGTGGGGAGAGAGCGGCTCCGGAGGCGGGAGCCCGATCAGTCCCTTACCGAGCGCTAGGCACGTCCACCGGCCCGAGGCCGCCGCTGCCGCCGCCGGGGCCGGCTAGCACGTCCCCGCCGTATTTCTCCTCCATCCCGGGGATCAGGAGCCGCCGCCGCTGCCCCCGCTGCGGGGTCTCCTCATGTCTCGCCGCTGCCGCGGAACACCGGGCGCAGGCGCGTCACTCCCCCATGCCAGCGGCCCCGTCGGGTCCCCGTAGGCCGGGCCGCTGCCGCTGTTCCCGGCTCCGGCTCGCAAGCACAGGCGCGTCGGGACTAGGCCGCGGACAGTTCAGGCGCCGCCGGGTTTCCCGGAGGCTCACCGGATCGGACGAGGCCAGGCCACGTCATCGGGCCCAGCAGCCCTCACTCTCGGGGGAGTGCCCGGCCCTGCGCCTGCGCACAGTACAGCACTCGCCGTCCCCTCCCCTTCCTAAGGCTCTTCCTACCGCTGGGCTAAGGACGGAATCCTCGCCCCGTATCAGCTCCTCCCATTGACGAGGCCTGAGCACATACCTGTCCCTGCAGCGCCACCTATGGGCTGTCAGGAATACAGCGGGTTCTTCTGGAGCGCAGGTAGGGGACATAGAAAATGCACAACTTGCGATTAAATAGAATAGAATTTCTTTTAAATTCTGGCTCCTAAACTGTGTTACTTAATCCTTGCACACCAGTAAACCTAGGCAGATAGGACCAGGCTTTATTAGAGTTATTTTTCTGTTGCTGAAAAATTAAGAAGGTGGGCTCCTGTGTCTGTGTCGGTTTGAATCCCAAATCTGCCACTTACTAATTGTGTCACTTGGCCTTTCTGTACCTCAGTTTCCTTATCTGCAAAGTAAGAATAGTAATATCTATATCATAGAGTTGTTGGGAGGATTGTATGTGTTAATATGTGAAAAGTGTCTATAACAGTGAATGATACATAGTAATAAATGTTAGCTATTATTATTATTTATAGGTAAATCTGAGGACTGGGATATGGAGATGAAAATGGGGTTTTGAAGAGTGTAAATTATGATTAGTTTACAATAATCCACTTAATTCGAATGTACATAAAGACTCTTGGTAACATATAAGAGAATGAGGAGTCATAGTCTCTGCCTGCTGGGACTTCATTATCTATTGTGGAAAATATTTAGCAATTTGAGAGCAAGACCTAGTTGGTAAAGGCACAAATGCTAAGGTTTCCCAAATAAGGTGTGATATGGGTATAACCAGAAAAGACTCACTGATAGAAGCTGACCTGGAACTTGGATAAGGTTTTGGATATGGGAGAAAAGCATTGTGGGAAGATGTATCCTATGTGTAGAACACAGAGGAAGGCATGAACTTTAAAAGCTAAAGATACATATTATTCTGTTTGAGGCAAAGAAGAGAGCAAAGATACAATATGCCATCAGTATGTTGGGGTTTTAAATTCAGGATGTTTGCTTATTGAATTTGTACAGAAATGTCCATATCTTTTGTCTGCATTAGGTGATAATCATTGACTTACAGTGGAGTAGATCAGGTAAATCCTAACAAAGAGTGACATTCTTGCTTCACTTTCTTGAAGTGACTTTTTTGTAGCATTTCTTTTTTTTTTTTGGTAGCAATTTATTTGCAGAATTGCTATTTTCTAACCCAAATGGCATTGGTAACAACTAACTATTGTGTTTTTCTAGAGCTAATTCCATTCCTTTGGAGTTCAGAGAACTAGGTAAAATGACATGTATACATTGAGATTAATTTTTATCCCCAGTGGAGCTTGAATTCAGTTGATATTTGATTTGGTTAGAATTAGGACATTTTTCTTTGAGGCTAATATGTTTCCTGATTTTTTGCGGTGGAAGGAAAAGTGTCTTCTGTTTTCTTTCTTCCTACTCACTTCTCAACGCAGTCCAACCTGGCTTCTACTTTCATCATTCTTCTGAAGCAGCTCTCTTGTGGATATTTTTGAACTACATATTACCTTATCTCTCTATGGCTTTCAACATAGTTGATCTCTCCCTCCTTCTTGAAACATTCTCTTTCCTTGGTTTCCAAAACCCCACATTTGGTTGTCAGAGGAAGCTCAAGTTCTTTATGTCCAAAACTCATGATCTTTCCGCTAAACCTGATCCTCTTTTAATGTTTCTTACTTCATTGGATGACACCATTTATTAAGTTTAGCAAACCAAAACACAGCTGTCATCCTTAACACCTCCCCTTCCTTATGGTCTATATCCAGTCCATCACCAAGTTGTGTCATTTTTTACCTTCTCAATATTTCTTGAATCAATCCAAAATTTTCCATCCTCATCTCCACCATCTAGTTTAAATGACCATCATGGTTTGTTTAGACAACTACAGTAACCTCCTTACTAGTCTTTCCAAGTTCACTCTTTC